AGAGAGAGAGAGAGAGAGAGAGAGAGAAAAGAAAAACGAAGGAACGGGCAGACTCCGGTCACGGTGCGCGCACGGGGATGGCTCCACATTTTAATTAGTAAAGGAGAAGAACGGAATGCCCGTCACACGTTTGTCCGCCGGTCAAACGATTATACCTCGCCATTCCACCCATTGCAAACGAGTCGTTCGTCCCTGTATCGTGTCGTTTAACCGTCGTCGTCGTCGTCGTCGTGTACGCGCACTCTTCTACGCGATCAAGGACCAATGGAAACTTTTCAAGTGTGCCTTCGCGGAAGAGAAAACGAGTTCCGCCCGAAAAATTCTCTCCTCTCGGTTCAATTGAAATGATCGATCAACGAGGCTCGCCGAATGTGTCCAAACGATGGAACAGTTTTTACGCGTTAAATACGCCCGACTTTGAAATTATCTTCGCTCCTTTCGATCAAATTGATATTAATCTTACCTTGCACGAATTCTCAAAAGCTATAGTGTACGTACAAAAGTAATTTCTTTGTTTAATGAAAATTAATCGTTGACTCTAAAAAAAAAAAAAAAAAAGATGAAAGATGCGATAAGTTGTTGAAAAATCGAAGAGTCGAAGTAAGTAAATTAACTTAAGATAAATAATAAAAACGAGGGGTCGGAAGGAGGAGGAGGAAAAAGATTTGAGAATGATCAAACGCGGGAGACACTGGGTCAGCTCAGGTTTCTAGGCGGTTCGATAGCGACATCGCGTCCCCACGAGTGCAGGCGCGCGCGCGCGCATGTTCACGCATGTGGCACAACACCGTGGCGCGAATAGGGACGCGCGCGCACGCGCTTAGTACTCGCTGCAGTCCGCGGAAGACAAGAGAGGTGAACGAAATGTGTGTCATACGGTGGAAGCGCGTGTGTGCGGGGCGCGCGTATCGGTCTCCGTCTCATTGTCATTCGACGTAGTGCGAATGCAACAACGTTCGTGCGGTGAACAGCGACGCAGTCCCGTGAAAGAAACGAAGACGGCCGAGAGGCAGCGTTAAATTCGCGAGGAGAGGCTTGTACGTACGAACTCGGCGCAAGTTGACACGACGCGACACGACAGCGTCGAGCCGAGCTACCGATCTCCACGCGAGATCCCGCCTTCTCGCATTCTCCCGACCACGCGCCTCCTCGTCCAATTTCACGAGACAACGGCCTAGTTGCTCGATTCCTCCTTCGTCGATCGAAGAAAGTCTTCCCGATTTCGTCGAATTCTAGATTTTGATTCGCTTCCTCCTTTTATTCGGTTCGCTTATTCTTTTCTTTTGGTTATCACCGAGCTACACGAATGTAACGAATGTAACGAATGTAACGAATATACGCGGTAATGCTTTCGGAGAGTAAATGCACGATGTTGCATGCGTACATATATATATATATATATATTGATTTCACTCGGTTAGAAATTGTATTTCCGAGCGAGACGGTGTAGATACGGAAGGATGGAGAAGAGCCGTGGCGCGGTGGAATGCGGCGAGTCGGTTGAAAAGTCGATCGGATTTCACTTTTTTCGCGAGTTCGCGAGCGCGAAGGCGAGGATCCCGCGGAGGATCCCGATCGCGTTGTGAAAACCGTTGTTGCTTTCACGCGCGCGATTCGCTGCCACGGTTGTTCCGTTCACGCGGCGGGCCCGTTTGGCGCGCGTGATCGGCGCAACGGTTACGCGTGGCAGCAGAGGAAGCGGATTCTCTGAGCCGAGCGAGCGCTGAAATAAACGCATAACTCTCGCGATTTAATTCGTCTCGTAGTGGCGTACACGCGAGCCAAACAACGTTTCTAACCGTCGATCAACGAGTCCGCTTAACGACCACGCTTCCAACTCCTCCCCCTCCACCCGCCGTATCTCCAGGTATACGGCCGATGATTGCTATTCCGATGGAAAATTAGCCGCGATTTTCTCTCTATTCCCGGCCTATCCGCGATCCGATATTTATAGATGCGTTTCTGGACTCTCTCGGATATTTATAGATCCGCGATCGTTGTGTTCTCTTTGTCTGCCGACGAGGTTGGATAGGAAAGCTGATATGGACCGTTCCGGAACACTTGAAACGAGAAAAAGAACGCTCCTTGCGTGCCGGTTGCATCCAAGCCGCATGAAATCCGCTCTTGTATCGAGAATCTCGCGATTGAAAAATCCTTTGCGCGCTTCGATTACTACCGCGTTTATTCCCTCTATTCCTTTATCTTTTGTCTCGTTGCGCCACATTTTTTTCATTTGCCCAACGACGCTATCCCGTTGCTCCCCACGGAACGGAGAAGGATCCTCTCGCGAAATTTCGACTA